CTTCTCAGATGACCTCCACCCATAAACCTTATCCATATTCCTATTAAAACACCTACCATTGTGCATTATATTTATTTATGTACACATTAATTTCCTCCACTGGACCATGATAGACAGCAATTATATTCCTTTCCACTTGCCTAATGGGATGCTCAGTAAATATTGGTTGAAAGAGTGAATGAATCAGTATGAGAAGGATGATTATAGTGTATACTTTGATATTGTCTATGCAAGAAGCTTGGGGGAAAACGAAAGATGAACTGGAAATAACCATTCAGATTCTCCTGTAATTTTGAAGAGAATGCAGATTTGTATATGTACAAAAAAGCAGTGACTTTCAATCTTTTAAAAACTCACCCCACCTCTTTTGAAACACTTAATGGAGTCCTGTACCATTTCCCACTAAAGTAACCAGGGCTTCTTTGAGAAACAGATGATCCTAGTTCTGGAATAAGAGCTGTACAAGGTGATCTTGAATGTCTTGCCATATTAGAAAGCAAGGAAGCTATGAAAGGCTACTGGGCTCATGTCCCAGGTACACTGGAGCCAATGTGGAATCTTTCCCACTAGCCTAAAGATAGGATATAATGACCATAAATGACAAACATTTGACACATATCAAAATGTTAAAGATACAGGAGTTTATCATGATACTGAAAATGTGTCACATTTGGAAGTTGCTAGGGCACCAATTCATTATTCTAAAAACCAGTAAAGAGAAAGAATTTATTTATCCTGCCTCTTCTGTGCAAAAAGTAATAGTTGAAAAGATCAAATTCTTTGAGGAAGAATTGTAGCTCAATACATGAAGAAGGAATCTTTTAATTGGAATACTGTCCTTTTGCATCCCCTAATAAAGTTTCTCGACGGTGACGATCCCTGACTGCTAAAAGTCATTAGCTGGATCAAGCTGTGACAACATCAGAACCTACCAATCAGCCTTAAGGTCACAAAAAGACAGGCAGATATATTATTGTGCCTCCTGTGAGATACAGTAAGAAACAAAGCCTACAATGAGACTTGCCAAAAACGTGTGTGCATGAACCTGTGCACACCTGTAGTGAAATAGTTTACAGTGAAATACAGGAAGTAGTCATACCACAAGGGTGCAATCAGCTACTCCAGATGGAAAATTCTGCTGGACAAATGACCCATTTTTCAAAAAACAAATGGCTTAGAAAATTATAGAAAGAGGAGAGGCTTAATTTTTATTATAAGATATAAGAGGCATATCAACCAAATTAAATATGTGAACCTTGCCCAGATCCTGATTTAAACTAAAAAAAATACCTGCAAGACAAGGGACTGTAACACTTATTTGAATGTTATGTGATATTACAAGACAGGGAACTTTAATACTACTTGCATATTATGTGATATTAAGTACTGATTATTTTAGGATATGATAATGCCATTTGTGGTTATGTTTTAAGATACATATTGATGTATTTACAGATGGAAACAAAACAGTGTCACGCTTGATCTAGCTTAATGGGAGCAGCTGGGGCAGATAAATTGGTGAAGAAAGATTTGCCATATAAAGATTGATAATGAATATGGGAGAGTTTGTGATATTTTGACTTCCCTGATAACTCAGTTGGTAAAGAATACACCTGCAATGATGGAGACCCCAGTTCAGTTCCTGGGTCGGGAAGATCCCCTGGAGAAGGAAAAGGCCACCCATTTCAGTATTCCGGCCTGGAGAATTCCATGGACTGTATAGTCCATGGGATCACACAGAGTCAAACACGACTGAGCAACTTTCACTTCACTTCACTTCACTTCACTTGTGATATTTACTGTGCTTTTATATGTGTTTAAACTTTTCTGAAATAAAATGTTTAAAAAGTATATTTCCTTTTATCCTATTGTAGCCTTATAAAAGTCCCTGTGAACTCTTTTATGGTTTTGCTAATAAGAAAGTAATGTCTGTAGAGAGTAAAAAAAATCTAAGGACTTGTGAGTTATGGCGTAGCTGGTACTAGGATGTATTAATACTAAGTAATGAGAGATTATAAAGAAGTAGGGATTTTTGAGAGCTCTAGAGAATTAAAAGATTTTGTAAATATGGATGTCAGCTTTTGAAAAGGAAGTGTGGGATTGGATTTAGTAGGGAATATGCATTTTAATTTGGGAATGTTAGCAAAAAGGAGATGAGAAGATGAGGTCTTTTGTGACTTAGAAGGGAGAAGAATTTACTGGGAATAACAATAAACTTAGCTTGAAGCAAAAGCACCAGTTAGGTTTGGCAAAAGATATGGTCTTACTATGATAAGGAGTAATCAGCTGATAAAGATTGTGATAAATTTTCAAATTTTCTTTGAAAAACTAGTGTATATTAATTCAGAGCTATGTGTAGGATAAAAGGATTTTTATGGCATGAAAGATTTGAACTGTTGGTTTAAGAGGGGAAAAAGTCCAACCTTACTCACTAATCTTTTCTTTTGTGTTACCTCTTCAAATTGTGAACTACGGTTTCTTAACAAGACTTGGAGATGCCTTTTAGTACCATTTTCTCTACTAAGGTTTTACCTCATATCAAATCACCTGTAGACATTTTAACCTGACTATTCATGCTTTTATCTCTAAAGTTCCCCTTTCTGCCAGGCTCTTAGTCTTTCAGTTCTTCGTGAGCTCTCTTTCTCCCTTATAGCCCAATTGTGCTGACTATTTGTGAAGTGGAAGTGAGAGTCACTCAGTCGCGTCCAGCTCTTTGTGACCCCATGGACTCTACCATTCATGGAATTCTCCAGGCCAGAATACTGAAGTGGATAGCCTTTCCCTTCTCCAGGGGAATCTTCCCTACCCAGGGATTGAACCCAGGTCTCCTGCATTGCAGGCGGATTCTTTACCAGCTGAGCCACAAGGGAAGCCCAAGAATACTGGAGTGGGTAGCCTATCCTTTCTCCAGTGGATCTTCCCGACCCAGGAATCAAACTGGGGTCTCCTGTGTTGCAGGCAGATTCTTTTCCAACTGAGCTATCAGGGAAGCTTTTCAGGGAAAGACTATTTGTAGTCTTTCATAATTTGTTTTCACAATCAGTCTTCTAACTGATCTTCTTGTCAAAAAGTTTCCCCTCTCCTCTTTATCTTAAGTATCAGTGGAGTTCTTTATCTTCCCGAGAGACCCTTTGTGTCTTCACTTCTCTGTTAGCATATGTTGATTGGCTCTTCCCATTTCCTATATTAAAGCCCAAACTCCATAGTGGGACTGACTCATTTTTCAAAATCATGAATTATTTAATCCCAATCTGCTTTTCTAACAGTTTGTTCCACAGAATTTCCAATAGAAACCTTTAACTCCTGCCAGATCTATTCCAATCACTTTGTTTAGAACATACTTTTACTTACTGTCACATTTATGTCTGTATTTACTTATGCCATTCCCTTCACTAGGAATGCTTTTTTTCCTATTCAGGTCCTCCATATACAAAGGAAATCAATGAGATTGTACCTCCTTCATTAACACAGTAGCCCAGGATATTCTTTTTTACAGTAGCCTTTTTACAGTAGCCTACAATATTAACTCTCTGTTGAACTTCAGTACCACTTATTATTTGGCACATGTTCATGTTTTTAAAATGTTACTTTTTCACAAATCCATATTTTGTCTCCCTAATTGAGTTGCAAGCTCTTCTAGGGAAAAGTCTGGGTTTATACATCATTTGAGTCCTCCACAGTCCCAAACAGAATTTTGTACACATCGTAGGTGTTCAGTAAATATTTTTATGGATAATTTGTGAGTAGTGGTTAGTCAGTCTCTTCTTAAGAAACAATCAGTCATTTTTTGGTTTGCTTTTATTTTTTTCATTTCTCTGGAGTGGAATTATTGATGCTCTCTAAAGGCAAAGATGTGAACTCAGTTCCTCTGGGGACTACCTTGAGCTTATATTACATACATATATGTATGTGGTTTGTTTGCTTTTAACACTAAAGAGGAAGCACATAAGGGATTGTGACTCCTTTGTTATGAATTTTAGAACTTTTTAACTTAAATACCACAAAAAAATAGTTTTTAAAAGGTCATTGGTTTGAAAGAATTATACACAGCACATGAACATGCAAAGTATTAATTATACAGCAAGCTTCAATACTTTGGGCAACTGACTCATTAGGAAAGACCCTGTTGCTGGGAAAGATTGAAAGCAGGAAGAGAAGGGGACGACAGAGAATGAAATGGTTGGATGGCATCACTGACTTGATCGACGTGTTTGAGCAAGGCCCAGGAGTTGGTGATGGACAGGAAGCCTGCTGTGCTGTGGCCCATGGGATCACAAAGAGTCGGACATGACTGAGCAACTGAACTAACTGATATGCTTAAGTTGAGTATTTATATTTTGTTCAACATTCAAACTGCATTTTTAATTAAGTTGCAGTGTTACAATATTTGCATGAATCTGTTCTGTAAATCAGTCAGTTCAGTTCCGTTCAGTTGCTCAGTCATGTCAACTCTTTGCAGCCCCATGGACTGCAGCACACTGGGCTCCCCTGTCCTTCACCATCTCCCAGAGCTTTCTCAAACTCATGTCCATTGCCTCAGCGATGCCATCCAGCCATCTTGTCCTCTGTTGTCCCCTTTCTTTATTTCTACTACAATAATAACTCCTATTATGGCTATTGTTTGTTAGACAACTTACCATTACTTTAGTAATGAGGATTTTTTTTATCCATTGAATTTGTTAAAATATTGTTTCTGTTTTGTGTTTTGGTTTTTTGGCCGAGTGGCATGTGGAGTCTTAGCTCCCTGACCAGGGATTGAACCCACACCCCCTGCACTGAAAGATGAAGTCTTAACCCATGGACCGCCAGGAATGTCCTAGCAATGAGAATTTTTAATTCAACTATTTGCATTAATATTAGTTTCTCAAGAAAAAAGACTCAAATGTATCTGTAATAATTGTACTAACTAATCTCTGATTAATCTTGTAATATTTTAATAGCAATAAGAGTATATGCATTGGCTTCTGGTTAACACAAGCTGTTTTTATTTTGTCTTATAGAATAATAATAACCTGGATGCCTGCTGTGCAGTTCTCTCTCAGGAGAGTACAAGGTATCTTTATGGTGAAGGAGACTTGAATTTTTCGGATGATTCTGGAATTTCTGGTCTACGCAATCACATGACTTCTCTCAACTTGGACTTGCAGTCACAGAATGTTTACCACCATGGAAGAGAGGGAAATAGAATGAATGGGAGCAGGACTCTAACGCACAGCATTAGTGACGGACAACTTCAAGGTGGTCAGTCCAATAATGAACTGTTTCAGCAGGAGCCACAGACAGCACCAGCTCAAGTTCCTCAAGGCTTTAATGTTTTTGGAATGTCCAGTGCATCCAGTGCTTCTAATTCAGCACCACACCTTGGATTTCACTTAGGCAGCAAAGGAACATCTAACCTTTCTCCACAAACTCCAAGATTTAATCCCATTATGGTAACGTTAGCCCCAAATATCCAGACTGGTCGTAATACTCCTACTTCTTTGCACATACATGGTGTACCTCCACCTGTACTTAACAGTCCACAGGGAAATTCTATCTATATTAGGCCCTACATTACAACTCCTAGTGGTACAACTCGACAGACACAACAGCATTCTGGCTGGGTATCTCAGTTTAATCCCATGAACCCTCAACAAGTTTATCAACCTTCACAACCTGGTCCCTGGACTACATATCCTGCATCCAATCCTCTGCCACATACCTCAGCCCAGCAGCCGAATCAGCAAGGCCACCAGACCTCTCATGTCTATATGCCCATCAGTTCACCTACGACTCCACAACCACCCACGATTCATTCGTCTGGTAGCTCACAGTCTTCTGCCCATAGCCAATATAACATTCAGAATATTTCAACAGGACCTCGAAAAAACCAGATTGAAATCAAACTTGAACCCCCACAAAGAAACAATTCTTCGAAATTGCGTTCTTCTGGACCTCGAACCTCCAGCAGTTCCTCTTCAGTCAACAGCCAGACCTTAAACAGAAACCAGCCCACTGTTTACATAGCTGCCAGTCCCCCAAATACTGATGAGGTGATGTCCCGTAGTCAACCTAAGGTCTATATATCAGCGAATGCTGCCACAGGAGATGAGCAGGTCATACGAAATCAGCCCACTCTCTTCATATCCACCAACTCTGGAGCATCCGCTGCCTCCAGGAATATGTCTGGGCAAGTGAGCATGGGTCCTGCCTTTATTCATCACCACCCTCCCAAAAGTCGAGCAATGGGCAATAACTCTGCGACTTCTCCTCGAGTAGTGGTCACTCAACCCAATACAAAATATACTTTCAAAATTACAGTTTCTCCCAATAAACCCCCTGCAGTTTCACCAGGGGTGGTGTCCCCTACCTTTGAACTTACAAACCTTTTAAACCATCCTGATCATTATGTAGAAACAGAGAATATTCAGCACCTCACGGACCCTGCTTTAGCACATGTGGATAGAATAAGTGAAGCGCGGAAGTTGAGTATGGGATCTGATGATGCTGCCTACACACAAGGTAATAAAAATACTGCCATGGGATCATTTTCCATTCTGGGTTTAATTGATGTACTTTTGACTTCACTGCAGAAGTGGGTATCAGTATCATTATTTTATGTTGTAAATGTCCAAAATAATACTATCTTAAGAACTTTTGAGAATATTCGTATAAATTTTAAGTATATCAGTTTTATTATGTTATAAATTGAAGCTTGAATGATAGCCTTATCAGATGTTCCAAATAATCACCTCTTGATTTGGTTGTTTTCTTAATATTCATAAAAGTTTGTTTTCACCTGTAGTGATGCTGACTTTCCCTTTAAATTTTCTGCAAATAAAAATTCATAAAAACATACATTTTAATAAGAGATTAGTGAACTAGTATAGCAAACTCTGCTGTCTTTGGCCAGAAGAATCCTCTGTTCTTCATTGTTCTAATACGGTTTTTCCTTATTTTGTATCAAAGTCTAAATCGCTGTGCATTCTTGAATAACTCAAAAGTATCAGTAACAGGATTCAAATTTCTCTTTTTCTTCTTTTCAGCCTCCCTTAACCATCTGTTAATGCAATCTTTTTGTTTGGAATTGTGAATAAGAGTGTCAAATTTATCTCACTTGATTATGCTTTTCAGGAATAGACTAGTTAATATTGGCATAATACTCAATTACATCTATATTAATTCAGTTAGAGAGCATTTATATTATATCTGACCTCTTAAGTTATTTAATCTTCAATAGGAAGCTATTAAATTCAGTTAGATAAAAAAAGAAGATAAGTGTTTGTTTCTTCACTATTGACACAGGTTTTGTAAATTAGCCAGAGTCCTTTAGAGTAAGGATGTATCATAATCATCTATACCCCTGGTAAACTGTTCTCAGTATTATAAGTTGGAAAATACTACATAGTCACCCCCATGCAGTAAATAGCCTCCTCCTACTACTAGTACCACTTGTCCTTTTTTAAATTTCTAAAAATAGTGATTTCACTGCTGACTTTCTTAGAGGAGTCTGATTGGTTTGGTTTGTTTTGAACAATTATATTCTAGTGATTCTCAACCCATGCTGGGCTGTGGTGTGTTCAAATTCTGTAATCACCTTTGAAGCTTTCAAAACATAAAATTGCACAGGTTCAGCCTCAGACTTGCTCAATTAGAGCTTCTGAATAGTAAAGCCTAGGTGCATGTGAGCATATGTGTGCATTTGTGCACATGTGTTTTAAAGCTCTGTAGGTTATTCTAATTTTCTAGAAATTGTGCTGAGACTTTACATTCCATATATCTGTGACTAAACTGAAGCCATTTCTGTTTAGTTTTGGCAATAAGTGATTTTTAATATAACACCATGTTTTTCCGCTGATACTTAATTCCTATTCTTCCCCCAAGTCCTTTCTTCTACTCTTTCCATCAAAGTAGATTTCCTATGTTTGGATAGTTGCTAATTTTTAAATGGAGAGTATTTTTTCCTAACAATTTTATTAATATATAATTGACATACAGCACTGTATAAGCTTAAAGTGTACAACATAATGATCTGACTTACACACATCATGAAATGATACCACAGTAGGTTTAGTGAATATCCGTCATCTCATATAGATACAACATTAAAGAAATAGATTTTTAAAATATTTTTTCCTTCTGATGAGAACTCTTGAGATTTACTCTTTATACAGCTTTCATTTACAATGTGTAACAGTGTTTTTTTCATCTTTACTCTATTGTATATTACATCCCTAGTATTTATCTTATAACTAGAAATTTGTACCTTTTGACTGTTTCTATCTAACTCCCCTTTCTCTCCTCCCCTCTGATAGCCACATAACTGATGTCTCTTAAGTTATTTGTTTGCTTTTGAAGTGTAATTGACTTACAGCACTGTTTAATTCCTGGCACTCACATCATAGTGATTCGTTATTACTGTACATTTCAAAATGATCATGATTAGTCTAGTTGTCATCTGTCACCTTACAAAAATATTACATAACTGTTGACTGTATTCCCCCAGAGTACATTTCATACCTGTGACTGAGAATTTCATAACTAAAAGTTTGTACCTCTTAATCTTCCTCACCTGTATCTCTGCCCTCCCACCCTCCCAGAGTGTAATTGTTTTTATGAAGATAACTTGACAAGGGGAATTTTTTACTAAAGTAGACATAAGATACTCATATATTGACTGGTGTGTGAAAATAAAGTGTTGCTTAAACTTGCTGTCTCCAATTTCTCTCCCCTTCTTTCTTGAGCTTATTCTGTAGTCAGGGTTTTCCCCGCTGCAGCACACCTGCTCCTGGCAAGGCCATCATTGACAGCATCATGGTAAACCCCGTGGTCCTTCAGTCCTTGTCTTCCTTGATCTGAATCGGTAGTGTTTACTGCAGTTGAGCACCCTCTTCTCTGTGAAACATTTTGTCCACCTGACTTACTACAGTATACCACCCTGGGATTGCACTCCTTTTGTTCTTTGGTGGTTTTCCCTCATCTCTCTGACTTTTCACTTCCTTGTTCAAAGAAGTGAGATCAAATCCTCAAAGTTCAGCCCTTGGGCTTTCTTTTCTGTCTTTACTGTTCCCTGGGTGATCTCTATCAGCCTCATAAGTTTAAATTTTATGCCAAATGCTCCCAAATTTGTAACTCTAACCTGGATTTATTTCCTGAATTTCAAGAAATTTATTTAACTGTCTCCTTAATATCTCCATTTAATGCATCCCAAGTTTACTGTGTCTGAAAAAACATCTTACATTGCACCCAGCTTACTCTTCCTGTCTCCATTAATGACATCTTAATCAGGCCAGAAACTTTAGAAACACCACTGACTCCTTCCTTCCTTTCACATTTCACATCTAATTTGACTAAATCCTGTCAACTTTAACTTTCAAAGTATATTAAGAATTCTCTTTTCTTGACACCCCCATCCATTGTCACCACTCTGGTCTGAGCTACCATCTTCTCTCAAGTGGATTATTGTGGTAGCCTACCTGCTTTCACCCTTGCCTACTTAGGGTCTCTTAACTCAGCATCCACAGGAATACAGTTTGAAAAATGTAAGTCAGATCATATGACTCATCTGCACATGATCACCATCTTTCCATTCAGAGATCCACTGGCTCTCCCTCATCTCTTACTTTTACTCACCACCTCAGTCACTGTTCCAGCCTTGCTGGCCTTCATACTTCTGCCCCTTAAACCTTAGAAGGCATACGTTTAGGGCCTTTGTGCTTGCTGGTCTCTCTGTCTGAAATTCTCTTCTCCCTGAATACACAGTTAACTCCCTCAGTCCCTTCAGGTCTTTACTCAAAGTCACTTTTTCAATGAGACTATTTCTGAGATCCCTATCTGAATCCACCCCCCAGTATTTCCTGTCTCTCCATCTTTGCTTACATTTGTTCAAGGGGGAAATGAATAATGTTAAGATCAGATCAGTTCTGTTGCTCAGTTGTGTCCAACTCTTTGCAACCCCATGAACCACGCCAGGCCTCCCTGTATATCACCAACTCCCAGAGTTTATCCAGACTCATGTCCTTTGAGTTGGTGATGCCATCCAACCATCTCATCCTCTGTCATCCCCTTCTCTTCCTTCCCTCAATCTTTCCCAGCATCAGGGTCTTTTCCAATGAGTCAGCTCTTCACATCAGGTGGCCAAAGTATTGGAGCTTCAGCATCAATCCTTCCAATGAACACCCAGGACTGATCTCCTTTAGGATGGACTGGTTGGATCTCCTTGCAGTCCAAGGGATTCTCAAGAGTCTTCTCTAAAACCACAGTTTAAAAGCATCAGTTCTTTGGCACTCAGCTTTCCTTATAGTCCAACTCTCACATCCATACATGACTACTGGAAAAACCATAGCTTTGACTAGATGGACCTTTGTTGACAAAGTAATGTCTCTGCTTTTTAATATGCTGTCTAAGTTGGTCATAACTTTCCTTCCAAGGAGTAAGCATCTTTTAATTTCATGGCTGCAGCCACTACCTGCAGTGATTTTGGAGCCCAGAAAAATAAAGTCAGCCACTGTTTCCCCATCTATTTGCCATGAAGTGATGGGACCAGATGCCATGATCTTAATTTTCTGAATGTTGAGCTTTAAGCCAACTTTTTCACTCTCCTCCTTCACTTTTATCAAGAGGCTCTCTAGCTCTTCTTCACTTTCTGCCATAAGGGTGGTGTCATCGGCATATCTGAGGTTGTTGATATTTCTCCCAGAAATCTTGATTCCAGCTTGTGCTTCCTCCAGCCCAGCATTTCTTGTGATATACTCTGCATATAAGTTAAATAAGCAGAGTGACAATATACAGCCTTGACGTACTCCTTTTCCTATTTGGAGCCAGTGTGTTGTTCCATGTCCAGTTCTAACTGTTGCTTCCTGACCTGTATACAGGTTTTTAAAGAGGTAGGTCAGGTGGTCTGGTATTCCTGTCTCTTTCAGAATTTTCCACAGTTTATTGTGATCCACACAGTCAAAGGCTTTGGCATAGTCAATAAAGCAGAAATAGATGTTTTTCTGGAACTCTCTTGCTTTTTTGATGATCCAGCGGATGTTGGCAATTTGATCTCTGGTTCCTCTGCCTTTTCTAAAACCAGCTTGAACATCTGGGAGTTCATGGTTCATGTATTGCTGAAGCCTGGCTTGGAGAATTGTGAGCGTTACTTTACTAGCGTGTAAGATGAGTGCAATATGTTAAGATACATAACAACAACTAATACCTGCTGAAAGCTTACTATGTGTTAGGCATTGTTCTGAAAGCCCATTTATTTCTCGTAACCAAATATAAAGTAGACACTAGTAATATTCCTGTTTTCAGCTTAAAATGCTTAAGAACAGGTCGGTTAAATACCTATACAAAGGGCAGGTAGCAGCATCAAAGAGTCTCATCTAGGCAGTTAACAGAGCCCACAGCACTATAATGTCTTTTCAGATTTTCAAAATGAACCCTCTGAAAAGATGGTTCACGTTTATCTTGTACCTTTATATAACCCCTGCTATACCATGTATGAAGGGCCATGTATGTCTCAATTTGAGAAGCAT